CCACAAAGAGCCAGCAAATACAGCCAGCGGATTCGCTTGCTGGCTCGGACAGCATCTGAAGAAAGCACTATTTAAAAACACAAGAGGTGGTGTTATAATGAGGAAACCATGGAGAGCAGAAAGCTTATGATTATTGACAGAAGTTGATTAAGAAATGGATTATTGTCCGCTAGGATGGTGGAGTAGCCACTGTCACCTCCATCCTACGTATCTTTATGTACATTTCCTTTAATTGAGGGATTCATTTACCATCATCCTTTTCACTGGTAGTGTGCTTTATTTGCATCTGAAAGCAAAAAGAGGAAAAAAAATTAAATTGACCGACCCCTGCCATGTGCCAAAGGCTTTGCTTTTTGTCACTCTGACCCAAACGGATTAGGGCCAGGAAATAAAGGTCAGTCTCTTACCAGTACCCCTGTGTATCACGTTTTTATTACAAGGAGTTTCCAAGAAAAATATCCCAATTTGCATCAGTAATTATCCATTCTTTATGCATTTTTGTGCAGTTTTCTGAGTTTATCTTGAATTCAGAAATCACCTTTTAGTGCCAGACCTATTAAAAACAAACCCTTTGTGAAATACCCTTCAGCAGTATAAATGAAAAGGTTGATATTGTAGCTGTACGTGCTCTTTTTTTTTGCCCTGTAAGATTCTTCCTTCCCCCATCACCTGAGTCATAGGCCACCAAGACAGTGGCTTGATTACTCTCCTTTGTGAATTTACAGGTTGTCTCCTCAGGTGCTGCGTGAGAGCTGTGTTTTGTTGCTGAAGCAGCGCACAGGGCAGATGAAGCTGAGCCAGTCTTACGTGTGACAGGACGGCGTGCAGGTGAATGCACGGAGGAAGTCCCCGGGTGCTCCTGTGGCACCCTGACCACAGCTTTTCACCACGGTGAGAAGCTGGAGGTCAGGTTTTAGCCACCAGCTGTGCTGGGGAGCTCCTTGTCTTGCAGGAGCTGGTTTGGGTTGGCAGGGGCCATGCCGTCACCCTGGCCAAGCACCCGCCAGCCCCATGGTGGTGGAGGATCCCTGGGCACAGCTCCAGCCCGGATGCGCTGGCTGTTTGTGCTCCAGGTGAAGATAGGCTGCTACGGAAGTTTCTGGTTTGGTAATTTTAGTGATAAATTTTTAATCTGGTCATTGTTTGATTTGATTGCTAATGCCTTGACCTCTGGTGACTGCTCCTGCTTGTGCCTGCTAAACTTTAATGCAGGCTACAGTAAAGAGCATTATGATTATTTGAAAAGGCAGGGTGTAATGCATTGCAGATTAACTGTGAAAGAAAAGCTATTCAAGTTAGAGGTTCACTTTGCCATATCACTCTCTATGCCGCTTTCCTTATTATCAGTACAAAAAATGAAATGAGAATAGCACATCTTTTAATTTTCTCCCACTATTACCTCTTGATTTGCATTCAGAGCTCCCAGAAGAAATACCGCTGAATTCAGAAGTAGTCTATTTAAGCTGCGTGGTGTTTAAAAATTGCTGGAAGAGGTTAAGGTACTGTATATTATGCAGTTGACCTTACTAAGAAGCTGTGTTAACAATTTAGACTTATAATTTTCTGCCGTTACATTTTGTTAAAATATTTCTCTTTTTTTTTGGTACCCCTGCACGTTAAACCCTTTGATTTCTGTCTAACTTATTTTGTAAGATTTCTGAATTGTATTTAAACTTCTTGTACTCAAAAGGTTGTTTTGCCAGTGTCTCTTTGAAAAGAGGGATTTTTTTCGTCTCTGTCTCTCTTTGTACCTGGTCTGCAGAGGCCGTGCGCCTTCACAGCATTTTCCTCAGGAGGAAAACACCCAAAGCCTCCGTCTGCGGAGTCCTGCAAATACATTTGAACTCTTTCATCTGGCACTGTCGTGTCTTTGTGGCTGACTGTGTTTAAACAAGACATCCGGGGAAAAACACTTTGGATCCTGCCTTCACCAACACTTGCAGCCTCCTGGCGTGTTGGATTCAGCCTTCCTGGATGGAACCTTTGTTCCCTGGCTCTGTCTAGTGATGGCTGGCCCCTGGCTGCGAAGCATCTCTGGGGCTGCTGGAGGACTGCAGGGGGGCAGAGACAGTCCGGACAGGCTTGTCCGTATTTCCCACTGGACACGGTCCCTTGTGCGTGCTCCCCACAAAGAATGGCTGGATGCTGTCCCGCGGTGCTAGCTGGCATGGGCCAAAGTCAGGCCCAGTGCTCCAACTAAGGCAGCGGGGACCACGAGCGGCGCGGTGCTGGGGGCTGCCCCGCTCTCTTCTGCTCGGCTGTGCTGGCGCAGCATCGGACCCCGGGCTGACGCACGGGCCTCAGAGGCAGCAGACAGGGGGTGTCTCAGCACTGAAGCGGGATCAAAGTGTGGCTGGCAGCTGCGAGCAGAGGGTGAAGACAGTATGGGCGCTGTGACGTTTCGGTGCTGCCTGACTTCCTATTGATTCTTCACACTATTGCAGCAGTGGCTTAGAGTTCATACAGCAGGAGCAATATATCGGCTGCTGTCTTCCTGCGGTAAAGTCAACACAGGGAGTGAGAGAAGCCCAGTGTGGATCCCAGAGCCAGAGGGTGCTTTTATTCGTTTAATCGCTAGGTACGTAGACTGTGATCAGCACCATGGCAACTATCAGAGCCACTCGACTGCGTTAGATACAGAGATAGCAACACTTGTTATTTATACAGCACCCTTTATTGCAAAATTAAAAATTGCCAGATACCAGTTTTATTGAGTAGGTAAACTGCATTTATTTGTTGATATGGAGGTGCTATAAAACCTCTGTTTGTATCACAGGGATACATCTGCACGATAGAGACTGTTTGGCAACAAATAAGTAAAGCAGTTAGAGGTTCTAAGGAATAAAAGAATAAACCAAGGGGATAAAAACATACTAAAGGGATGAAGAATCGGTCTGTGTGCAGAGCCAAGCTGAAACTTGGCAGCTCTGTAAACCAGTTAACAGAGAAATAAATGGAAGTCCAAACAATAGGAACAAAACTGGAACAAATAAAACCACAAACTCACAAATTGTTATAAATTGACTGTAAAGATAAAAAAGTCTTTTGAATTAATTGTGTCCCTGCAGTTTATTCTACTGCATACTTTGCTTCTGGGAAGATTCTGTATCTGAAAAAGTCACGTGAAGCATATTCTTAGAGCAGTACAAATGGAAATAAGAAATATTTCTCACTTGAAATAACGACACAAATTTGTCTCTGTGTTATTAGCTGGTTTTCCTCTGAATCATCTTGAACTTCAAGTCAGACAACAAAGTTAAAATAAATTATTTAATCATGCTGCAGAATGTTTCTTAACTGTGTAATTCTTTCCTTTGCAGGTACTGAGCAGATAGTGGTTCTATGTGTCAGCATCTCCCTGGTGACTCTCAGCTTTTCCAGAAATCATGTTTTGACTAAAAGGATGTAATTATGTTTATAGATAAAAAATAACCTCCATGTGTATACTGACTCCACACAGCGCTGGTCAGTGCCAAGGAAAGTATGCTCTGCGTCTGAGGCGAAATGCAGACTGAATCAGTGAGGTCATCTCTGAAGCTTAATTATGAACTAATAGCTGCAACTTCTAATTTGAGGCTTAATCAGGTTTATGACGCCCAGCTTTGCAGTGCAGAGTTGGTGTGAACGCAACAGGAAAGACTTTTGTCATGCGGACATCATCATTCCCTGGCCACACACTTGGCCACCACCAGCGTGCCCGTCCCGTGGCGTGCTCAGGGTAGCACAAGCCATCCTGCTCCCCGAGGTGACCGTGCCAGAGCCCCTCTTCCCTCGTGGCCGCAGGACCTGATGGACCTCCCCGAGGTGACAGAAGCCAGAGGCCTCTCTGCTGCCGCATGAGCCAATGTCTCAACTGGAGTTACCTAACCCGAGGTAAAACCCTCTCCAAGATAAGGTGACCCGTGGTGCTCGCATTAGTGACCGAGCAGGACAAATTACTCAGAGAGCTGAACTGAAGAATACATCCCTTCTTCATGTAAACCTTTCTGATGTAAATGTTTCCTGTCTTTACGTGGGCGGGTAGGGAGCCTCCTTAGACACTCCAGACAAACCAGCTAATGAAACCATAGTGTTACATCACTGCAAGACCTTCATCCCCTGTGGCAGGGACGGATCCGACCGGCTTTAAATTGGTCATCCCCATCATAGGGATGTAGGATAACTGCGTCTGGAGGCCCAGCAAGGGACAGGCGCAGTTTGCTGCATCAGCCAACTAATAGCATTGGTATTTATGCAGAAATGAAGCTGAAAGAGCAAATAAGGCCAGCAACTAAAACTTTCCGGCAATTACATTTAATCAGATAATGCATGTTATTTACAGAAAGCATACATCACACAATTCCTGCTCTAAAATGCACACAAAGTAGGAAAGACAAAAGCCGCATTCCCGTAACATGCTAACAAAATAAATAAAACGGAATTATTTTGGCACAATAGCTATTACATAAATAAATAGTCTAGAACATAATGAATTAACATTTATTTACAGTCTATTGAAAGTGCAAACCAATTGGCTGAAAATTAAGATATTTGTAAATGCTTAAGACCAGAAAATAAGTGTTAACCAGCCACAGTTAATTATAGCTGCAGTTTAAGGTTTTAATGTCCAGGAAATCGCTCTCTTGAAATCTGTTTATGCATATTGTGCTCTTGTTGAACCAGTCCTTTGCTACCTTTATGCTCTTGATTTCAGCAGCCTTACCATCACCTCGGAATTCTGTAAAAACCTGATTGGTAGTTTAAAAAAAAAAGAAGTAAAATGTAAACACAGATTAATCTACGCATCATTCAGAGTATTTTCAGTCCTGTCAGTTTTCGGAAATGGCCACACTACTTGCAGTCGTAGGCAATGCAGTTAAGATTAGAAATGTTTCTCAGTACCTCAGCTGTATTTCAAATGGAGACAGTTTAAGTCCTCTCTGAATGGAACTACACCTTGGACCTCTCTTGACCCCGCATTCTTTCAGCAGATGCCCGCACACATCTTCTGCTGAGGGCAACAGGAGCTGGGCAAGCGAAACTGATGATCAGTTTTGGTCCCGACTTGGAAAATAAATGACAAGATACAGATTTTTAATTAGGGAGAAAAATGCTACCTCCCTTAGAGTCGTTCGAAGTTTTTTTGTGCATTTTCACTAACTATTCTATTTCTATCTGCTGCCTTTTTTATCCACGTGAGAAATCATTTACTACACTCTAAGATGAATTAACAGTTCACGATACGGCCACTCGTACAGCCACAGAGCATAAATTCTTCCTCAGCTCAGGCTCTCTGACAGGCTGGTACGTTGTGCGTCGCCTAAGACCTTACAGTATGGTTTTGCTTATTTTTGTAGTGGCAGTGCGGTAGCAGAGAAAGTGAAGTTCTTAACAAGTGACCTTGACAGGATAAAAGATCATTTCTCATCATCGCTTCAACTGTTTATGCTCGACGCGGTTCCAGTCGGTGAGACATCTGTGATAAAGTTCTCTGGTTGTCAATCACATTTAATTGCCGCACATAGCTCCGAACGTCCTGATGGTTCTTATTCGTTAGGGCTGCGTCGGGATCTGGGGAAAGAGAAATGATGTAGGACTGATGCACTTAAACGAACAAATGCCTGACCAGAATGCACAACTCTTTACAAGCTGTCACAGCAAACACCAGATCCTGGTGAGTTAAAAAGAAAATATTTAGCAATGGCTGTCTTTGAAACCTTTCCTCCATATCTGATAGTCTTTCTGGTCACTACCCTCACAAATTAACTTTTTCTCTCAGATATCCTTGGCTACATTTGCTCAGATTGATGGCCCTCGGTTACAGTTTCATACATCACCTTACCAGTCGATAGCGATGAATTATGGAGCTAACTGGTATGATTTAAAGCTGCCCATCTGCTTTTCAACCAGCAGCTTTCACACGGATTCAAAACTGTATAGTTAATTTAAGCCTCCTTTCATGAAATATTCCCATTTCTAGCTCAGTATTAAATATTTGTAACTTGGTAGTGCACAGTGGCTGCCCCATTCAAGCCTCCAAATTGGCTGCTTACATTACTTACCAGAACTGCATTACACCTATTCCAACAACAGCTATGAAATACCACTGAGTTAAAATCTGAGTGACTTCAGCTTACCAGTGGACAGCTTACATTTTCATGAAGTATGTGTCAGGTAACTTCAACTCCTCTAAAAGATACTGAAGCATCTACCATATCTAAATAGACATACACACAAAAAGCATGGGACTTGGATACAGTACATCTGTACACTGACATTTCGTTATATCATGCACAGTGAAGATCAGCTTCAATTTCTAAATGTGTGGAGGTCTCAGTAGTGCTTAATATATTAAAATTAAAAGATACATAGCCAGAAAAACCTTGACGGTGGCCAAAAAGTTAAAAACGAAAAGCTCCTTTAACTTGATATTCTGGAGATAAGCTTTGGGAAAAAATGAAACAAAAATTTTTATAAAAACATACTGTGATATTTTATTTATTCTGTTCTTTGAGGAAGAGGAAGGCTGCTGTGAGGCAAAATGAGTGAAGCACCGAGGAAAGGCCAGTGTGACTGGAGACGGGGTGGGACACACACCTTGATCACACAGCTCTGTCATCTCACATGGCCCCAGGTAAATTCTGGTAATTATTCTGACTAACAGGTTTTAGGTCCATCCCCTTATGCAGTTATGTCCTTTATAAACGTCATGTTTCTGGACTGGTTTCCTATAAAAACAGGGTTTATTCAAGAAGTCTCTTGCATAGATCTGTGTGCTGCCATCTGGTAGCCTTATTTCAAGCACTTCTGAACCCAGTGGCTAATTTCAACTGGTTCTGATTTGACAGATGTGCAGAGACCTCACAGATATTTAGCTCCTTCACATGCTTGGAAAAGAGATGGAGGAGAAGGGGCTCATTAGAGCTTCCTGAAGGATATTTCACCCTGTGAAACATGGGAGGATCCAAACATGGAAGAATCACTGGAAACCAGGCTTTTCAATTCTGGTACACACAGAATTAGTTGTAATTACTGTAGCTCCTGATGATAATGCTGACTGTGCAGATGTTGTAACACACTTACTGAAAGATTGGCTTCGGCAGAATTTCACCGTCCTGACAGTGTTGGCAATCATGCGCTGGAAAGAAAAGATGGGATGCAATCAGAGAACAAGCGCTGTATTTCATCATCATTTAAACGAAGCACCTAACTGTGCCTGAGTGTGAAGACATACGCCAATAAAAGCAGTCATATGAATGAAAATATAATTTTAGTGCTGATATCCTCATATGTAGGGTGTGATTTGCATTTACACAGGCTTTAAATGAGCATGAGTGTAATTTACATGCGCTCAGAGAACCCTTTCCCTTGCTTGGATGCTGTAAAAGGCCTTAACTAAGAATGAAAATCAGCCCTTTCAATGTGCATTTCTCTGATGCTCAATTCACAGGTGAGAAGGCCGCCGTTAGAACAGCGGCCCTGTAGGCAAGTGTCATCAAACAGACCTGTCAGGCAGCGTTAGCTTGCACAAGTGTATCTAACCAGCATGACGAGTGCATTCACTTTTGGTGAACACTTCTACTGGCAATTCACGAGAAAAGCAGCAGTCTCTTCGGTCCCTCTTGGCTGTGCTCACTGGTCAGTACACACGCCATCATTTCACTCACTCAGGTAAGACGATATTAATCACTACATTCTGCTCTGCTAAATCAGATGCTATTTTACAACAGCTTTTCAGAACAGGAGTGAAGGTAAGCCATAAAGCAAAACATTCAGATTTAGTTCTGGACTGCAAGAGTTTAGCTGGCTTGTGTGACTGGCACCACACAGGTAACAGATGCACCAGCGCGGGTACAAAATTAGGTGTTCTGCACAATACCAAATAAACTGACACTTCAGCAGCAAGCCTGAATTCCTCAGCTAAACAGTTTGATTCAATCACTGTTACAAGGACATTCGTTTCAGGTTCTTTTGCTTAGATAAAGAAAAAGCAGAGAAGGGAAATGCTATTGCTAATCAGAGGCTAATGTTTGTTCCAGCACTTTACCATGGTCCAGCAGTTCCAACGCAGCCACCTGTAGTAACACAGCACGCTCAGCAGGCTGCTGCATACCTTGTTCAGATTTTGTGTGGGATTAACAGACAAGTCATAAGGCCTCACAGAATGGAATGATACATTCCTTACTGGTAAACAGCACAACTTAGGGGACACGCTCCTCAAAATTAATACACAGTTATAATCCTACATGAAAATGATATTAGACATAAAATACCGTGGTGAAATCTGCCATTCCAGAAGTGGGAGGCGCCAATGTAAAATATTCCTTACACACGTACTGAATGGTCTTAGACCCCTTAGTGCACTGTCAAGCATACAAAAATGGTAATGGCTGGTGGTCAGCATTAGAAACACTACTGACATGACATGGACTTCATCTTTGTGGATTGCACATTGTATAATCAGATGAAATGTAGCTACTCTGAAACTGATCTAAAATACTTCAATTCTAAAACACAACTTCCTAAAAGACAGGGAATTTGGATATGGATCTGCTTATATCAGCTACTCTGAAACTGATCTAAAATACTTCGATTCTAAAACACAACTTCCTAAAGGACAGGGAATTTGGATATGGATCTGCTTATATTGTTCCTAAAGTAATATCTATTTACATGTGGAAAATATAGATCTAAAATAAGAATCATTTCTATCTATCATGGTTTAACCCAGCAAGCAGCTGAACACCATGCAGTTTGCTCGCTTAACTGCCCTGCTCCCCGGTGGGATGGGAAGAGAATCAGGAGAGTAAAAGTAAAAAACTCATCAGTTGAGATGAAGACTATTTAATAATTAAAATAAACCAGAAATAAAGCAATCAAAGCTATACTCAGCTCACAGACAGCAGCCACTGGCCGTACACCAATGAAAACGTACGGGAGAGGGGAGCCTCAGGAACTGGCATGGGCCACCATCATGAAGTAGAAGGGAAGGGACTGAAGGAAGAAAGGAAGGGCCAAAGGGGTTGTCCCCTGCAAACTCCCCAGTTTATAGTGAGTGACGTTTATGGGACAGAATACATCTGCATTTCTGTATTGGTCACCTTGGATCACAGCCGGATCATCTGTTCTGGGTCACCTGTCCCAGAGAATCCCAGGCTTTCACTTCCCCCCTCATCCTCTTGTGCAGAGAGAAGGGAAAAAAACCCCCAACCAAATGAAAATATAACCATAGGTGCAGGAGAAAGACTGAAAAACAGAATTTAAATATCCGCTAGTGAGAAGGAAAATTAAAAAATCTTATCAGCTACAGGAAGGAAAATAACTCTACCCTGACTACAGCTGTAGTATCAACTTGTGTTCACGACAACAAACACTGCAGTTTTCTCAGAAACCCAGCTCTGCTGAAGCATTAAAAGGGAATTCTACATTTCAACCCCAGCAAAACCAGGACATTATCCTACGCTAATTTTCATACCTCTTCAAGCCATTGCTACTAGGCAGATTTTCTAAGACACTTACCTTGCAAACGTTCTCATATGTGCTTAGCATTAAGCATGTGAATAAGCCTCACTGACTTCAGTGGAACCTCTTAAACACCCAAAGATAAGCACCCATTATAACACTGGATTGAGACAGAACATATTGCATATTACAGTGGTGGTTCTTCCAGTCTAGCCCAATCAAATGAAAATCAAAACAACATAAGCACCTAAACACGAATGGTTCATAACCCTATGGACTCGTATTTGGCTCTGTTATGTGACGCTGCTATTTTGTTTCATACCATTTCAAAAAGTACTCCCACAAAGTGACTATTTCAAGCAGGAACCATAAAGTTGAACTGGACCAGCCAAGCTGGTGAAGATTCAAAAGCATCTGAATTCAAGGGAAGCTTAGCTAAGGACAGTGCATTTTTACCAAGATAGCTGGTGTTGCTTGATGTGCTTTCTAGATGGGCTGTTAACACACACCCCAATTTTTCACAGTAGTAAATGTTTAGGTTTTGAAGCCTCATTTCGTAATAATCCTTGGAGCTCGCCTGTAGGCTCAGAGTTTGATTAGTTTTCTTATGTGAAAACTTCAGATTTATCCAAAAAAGCGTGCTCTGTAGAATAATTTTGCTTTTTTTCCTTATGTGGAGAATTTGTTCTGCAAAAACGCATGGCATTCAGAGCAAGTACTGTAATGCTACTGTACTGAAGGACAAATTGTGTGTGTAGCAAAGGTTTTTAGCTTTCACTGCTTCTGAATTTCTCATTATATGGACTATTCCAGGCAAGGAAAACTGAAGTAGCAATGAATGTGTCTGACTTCTGGTTAAAGGCCGAACTGTCTGAGGCCTTCAGTTGGCTGAAAGGCTTCCATTTAAGGAGCTGCTTTGCCTATTCCCGAGGATAATCTCGTTCAGTCTGTGCATTCAGAAGCATCCTGGCAATGATGGAACATAAAGCAATGAGGAAGTCGGTGTTAAGGTAGAATAAAAGGAGAAAGTGGCCAGAAGACAGCATCGCAAGCCAATGGGGAGATTTTGGAGCACCGTGCATCCTTGAAGAGCTCCTTTCACACTGCATTTTTCCAAGTGCTGTCTAACGTCAACTCAAAAGAGCTCCTCTTTGAAAGGTGCAAAATGAACAGAAAAACAGCATACGAAACGCAAGCGAATTTCCCTTCCTGAATCTTGTAGATAAGTTGGATTGTCTCCTTTTGATTCAAGAAAACTAGAAACACGTTCAGAGAAAATGTTCAGACGGAATTTTAATTGCCAGCTCCTTACAATGTTCCTTCAAGTAAAGGATTACCTCTAGTTAATGCCTGCAGAAATTAACCTCTGCTTACTCACTGTGCTAAGAAAGACCATGATCAAAAAGCCATACAAACCTAAATTTGGATCTTTCTGAAACAGAACCAACTGCATAATACGACAAGCAACCGCTACTACCAGCACGCTACACGTACACGACAATACCCGCTGCAGTTCTACCCAGCCTGGAACAGTGGCAGCAGGCCAGCACATTATCTTCTAATCCACTGCAAAGCCAGGTTTCTAAATGTTATAAATATTCATACATGCCATAGAAAACTACTAAGGGCTTTAGTCACACACTTTTTGCATAATCTTTATGTTCCAAAAATGAAAGAATGTTTGCCCTTTTTTTGCAGAAGGCTCAGAGTGTGAATTCCCTTTTGTTCATCTCCACGAAACCCAAAAACCAATATGCGCAGATTCTCTAATCCTCATTTCACACCTGAAAGGTGAAGGGGCTTGTCAAGAAGCAGCACCAGGGGCCAGCATCACGGCACTGCCTTGTGCTGCTATGGCAGGCCAGCGCTTCCAGAGCTCTTTCGGGCCTTCTGCTCCCTCTACAGGTGCCACTTCTGAGACGTGTTGGGGAGCGCCACACGGAAACGGTGTCACGGAAAGTGAACTTGTTCGAGCTGTCTGATGGTTTGAGAAATGGCGCCGATAAAGTTCCCAAATAACTGCATCTTCCCTCTCTCTATGAATACAAAATTCTGTACTGGCAGTCAGAGTGCGGGATTATGCAGCTGAGGATTGAAAAAAAGTGCTCATCAGTAAGTGGTCAAGAGTATGAAATATTGCCTGTCCTTAAGGAGAGTCGTGCTCATGACTTTCCTCACTTTCCTCTCTCTTCTTTCCCTGGCAAGACATAATTCTAGGAAAGGGCTTTTAAATTTTTTTTCTAAATATATAGCTATAAAAGCAGTGTCACTTGAACATTATTTATTGCCATGTACTGCGCTGCAGGCTGTAGGTTGTTCTGTATCTGCTAAATCATGCAGAGTTTATAGGAGCTAATACTACTGACAGCTTTGGGGGCTCACCTTCACCTGAAAAAAGGGTCATTAATGGATCTAAAAGACAAATGTGTATTGTGGATCACAAACTAATGGTGTTTGCTGTCTACTGCCAGCTTCTTCTCTTTCACCTACCTGCAGCTCCCAAATGTCCTCAACCTGCCAAACTACAACTACAGCACTTAAAAAACTTTTTAAAGCCTTTTAATCCCTTGCTCCTTTATGGCGAGTTACGTCTTCAGTTTTTACACAGATGGGTCTTCCTAAAGCAACACCTACATCTACTGACAACCCGCTGATGGAGAAAAGATGCAGGCAGTTCTTACCACCCAAGATCACAGAGTACGTGCCAACCTAGAAGGCACATCTGAGCAATGCCATGATGGAAACAGCTTGTACCTTGTCTTCATCAGCTTCTTACAGTGAGACAGGTAAAATATCTTCAACACTTCTCTAAAACTATGCCTCGTTTGGTATTGAACACAAAGCCTTTTACCAAAGGCTTATACTGCTAATACCAGTAATTTAGTTATTCTGCCTACTTAATGACAAAAGTATCAATAACATGTCCCAGGCTGGGTTTTAAGGCCAAATGCTTGTTTCCTTCACCCCACACACCTTCATGCAACGAATGGCATAGTAAAGAGCACAAATACAGTGCAAATACGAAGAGCATACCTATTTTTGCCACATTCAGCAATGTCTGCCCACATCTTGTAGAAACCAAATTGGTCCACTTAGAAACCTCCCGCTTTACACATAGCTGTGGCTCTACCACACATGGTAATCTCTTCCCTGGCCTGCTCCTCCTGCCCTCCTACTCCTCACAGCCTCCTCCAAATAAGAGGCGTCCATGGGGATCAGGAGGTGATGAGGGGTAGGAAGGAGCAGTTACAGAGGCAGTCGCAGGTAAAGCTCAGCTGTGCTCTGCAGGGTGATATCCCTCCACTACTGCCCTGAAAAGATCAATTATAGGAAAGCGTAGCAGGAAAAAAATTGACACAGTCCCTTTCCTTTTTAGTTTGACTTGCTAAAAATCCCTAGGCTAATGTGGCTTAACACTACCTGTCTGTTTTTCCCTTTTCTAGACAACTTTGTCAAATTTTGAAAAAAGAACCTGGAGTTTTCAAACAGAAGAAATCTCCTACCAGTTTTCTGTGAAAACAGACGGCTGTGGACAAGAGAAAGATCACGCAAGTGCCCTCTTCTCCCGTCTCCTTCAGGAAAAAGGCTGTAATGCAAGTTCCTATGTTATGACAAAAGCCTATTCACACAGAATTCCCCAGCCATGAAGAAACCACACATGCCCCAGCCACGAGGAAAGCTCGAAGCAGAGCTCAGGCAGCCATGAAACACAAATGTTTAGGAAACCAGGCCTCGCTGTTTCTGGCACTAGGGGAACTCCTGGCTCAGACGCTGTCTGACAGCTCCTGCGTGTTTTAAGAGGCATCGTTTAATATAAATAACAACAAAAAGATCAGAAAACATGAAAGTTTTAAAGGAAGCTGTTTCGGCTGACGAGATGCCACTAGATCAAACTTCTACTTCTGGCTGCCAGTTACAGGAATAAAGTTGTCAGCAGCACATCAGCTGTCGGCATCGGAGCTCTGTGGTGAGAATGCAGCCATGATGCCAGAGGCTGTTCTCAGTTTTATCGCTGTGCTCACACGAGAGATGGAGGGACCCACCTCCTTCAGTGGCAAAAGGCACCGCCAGCGGCAACTACCCGGATACTTTTATTCATAAACTGAAATTTAGGATGGATCAAGGGAAATAATCTTCCAATGAAGATGTTTCAGACAGATCAGTAATAGTGGCTCCTAGCAATATCCAGAGGTATCTACATCTGCCTGTGACAGAACACCGCGCCACGGAGCAAACAGGCAGAAGCAACAAATGGCAGGACACCATTCCTGTGAGGATACCTAGCTTCTGCTTTTCGCTTGAAAACAGCAGAATAACATCACAGATTTACCTTTATACTTATGTAAAAGAGAGCTGAATGTATCTGTGCATTATCTGGCTGAGTGGTCTTGTCTTCACCAGTTAATATCTGGCAATTATGTGTGGATGTGACAGTTGTAAGCGTAACGCAAGTAGGCGGTAGCGACTGAGGTTTAGCAGTAGGCTTTTCTTCTCTGTTTGACCTGATGACACATGCAAAAAGCTAAAAACTGCCAGGTCCACGTTAGGATTTAAATGAATTATGTGGGTGGAATCTGAATACGTGTTGCCTTGAAGAGCTATGGGTCGAGGGAAGCAGTTAAAACATCATAGAAGCAATGCAGAATAGCCAGTGAAGAACATCAGAAACACAAAAGATACACTTGTAGTGAGGCCTGGAGGAAAAGCAGAGTGAGCTTTTAGGCAGAGCAGTAACTGAAGAAAGGTTTAGAA